AAATCCTAATTTGGACAGATAGGAAGGATAAAGCTGAATACCTTCTATAAAACACAGTGAGAATGTTTTATCAAAGGAATAGAAAAAAATCAGACACGAAAAAGAATATTTAAGCAAGCAGGAAAAAAAGTATTAGTACCAGAGAAATTCAAACTGCCCTAAGAACCATGGACATAAAGTGATGTATAAAGAGAGACCAAAGGACCATGGGATGCATGAATCCTGCCCTTGTCTATGACCCTTAGTCTAGGATGAAGACAGCGATATGTTTAATGTCATCACAGCTGTAATTGAACAGCCACATTATCCACAGCGTTCAAACTTCACAATTGTCTGAGAATCTCTACAAATTAATATATTTACAATGCTAAAGCTCTCTATTGCTTTTTAATTCTCAAATGCCTTCTGGGCAGTTTATATGACAAATCCATAATTTTTGAGGCTAGTCCTGTTTGACATCAGCCCTCTGGGTCATGGAATTTATTTTAGTTTAATTCAGTTACAGCATTTACAGACTATATTTAAATCTCTAAATCCAGCAAATGGAAATATGCATGTTATGTCCCAGCTGAAGCAGTTTGATGTAAATTTTGGGGAAATTATTAGTGCCTTGAATTGTCTTCAAGAAATTGCCAAACTCTTGAGACTGGAAAAAAATGTTGGCAACAGGGCAACATTGTAGGATGTTATTTACCACCTACCTTCCTGGGACCTCTTCCAGAAAGACTCCTTTAGAAATAAAGACTTGTCAGTCTTGGGGCCCACTCAGTTCTTGACCTTTCTGCTTCAAGATTAGTAATGGTACTAATTAATATGCACCGCCTACATTTGAGCAACATACTGCTTTTGAGGAGTGCCAAACAAACATTCTTCTAGACACCAGTATACTGGGATCTGATACTCGGGGCATATTCAAACAGTGGTTCTGGATCCTACTTGACTTATCACTGAACCTAGATGATTCAGCAGTACATGCATGCAACTGATTCACCCACCTTCACAGCAGGACCAACCCGTAGTCATTCCCTCCCAGCCCTGAGAGTGCTGGTGGTTTTTTCTGAATTGGAAGTAGAATACAAGAAATCTAAAGGACAGATTCTGTTTTATAAAGAATACATTTGCCTGGCTTCTCTGAGCCTAAGGATACCATGAGTTTTTTAGAATAAGATTCTTTACCTTTTTCAGTTGTTGAAATACTTCCAGTGTCAGTGTAAGTCCCTCATCTTAATCACACAGCCTTTGAATGATCAGTTCCTAGTTGAGTGCAGATATTTCTCCCTTTAGGACCTGCCAGTGACACTGCCCTACTTTGGGACAGTGTCCATAAATGAGCCCAGCATAACCCAGCTGCAGAAAGACCTCTTGGAAAAAATTAGTCAGATTCAGTTTGATTTCCTCCGGTTCTTCCTTCAGCCATTCCCTTTGCAATTTAGTTTTAAGCTTCTACTTAATATGACATCAGTAACAGCTGTCGTTCTTGTCTTCCACAACTATAAGAGTGGGAGAGGAATGTAATCTTTTCTTTGCCCTAAGAAACATCTTTTTAACAATTTTATGCAGTTATGGTCAATATACTATGAAAACAAGAACTTAAGCAATAAATTTAAACATATTCTTCATTTTTTCTCTTTTTATTTAGAAATTGTATGCTCTCCTCCAGTAGTTCGCCATGGGAACTTTAGACCTGACAAAGGCAGCTACAGAGCGGGTGATACAATCACAATACAGTGTGATCTTGGATATCATTTTAAAGCATTGACTGGCAGAAACATAGCTGAATGTACCGGGAATGGCTGGGTGCCCGAGCCAGCTTGTGTCTGTAAGTAGCTCTCATGGATGAAGACACAAAATGTAGAGTTGTTAGAAGCATCTGAGAGAAAAAGAAGTCAAGAGCAAAACTCAAGGAGCAGTAGGCATGGGAGTCACTCATTTTTTTCCTTTGTGATGTAAAGCTTAATGTGATGGTTTAGAAAAATCACCTATAAAACAATGGTTTAATCAATATTTACATTATGTTTATTAACACAGGTATTATCTCTTACTGTATTTGTGAATTTGTTAAAATGTGCTATAGTCAGCTCACTTGTGCCCCACCCAAGGAGCATCTTAGTCAAGATAAGAGGACAACATGAGTGTTTAAGTACAAACTATAGGTAATGGTTGGAAGATGTCTTTCCTCTTAGCTGTCAGAGCTTTAGATTTTTACTTGGAGCTGTAAGTTGGCTTTATGAATATTCACATGTATTTCTATCTGTTATAACCTGTCAGATTACAAAACAAGGTATTCTTGATGGTTGGTGAGTTCTTTATTGTCTTAAACTTCCCATAACTACAATGATAGTTTTGTCCAGTAGGCACAGTATAAAAACGTTAATATATAATTTAGCAATTAATTTCACAATCTAGCACTCTTTGATCTTTGGTCATTGAAAATAAAAGAAAAACTTAGAACAGATTGTGAGAGAAACCCTGATGGAATCAGTCTTCTAAATGAACCTTTGGATAAGTTGATTTGAGCTGTTTCTGAAAAGTGCTCTGTTAATATCTGTATTAATGTTTTCTCTATATTAGTATGAGTTCCAAAATTCAGGTATCATTCTGAGACCACTTCATTCATTATTGAATGGTCTGTCCAGTGAGTGGTCTGCCCTGCCTCTGCAGGTAGGCTCTGGATCAGAGCATTTCAGGAGGAACCTAGATAAACTTGAATGAAAGCATCTGGGAATCTCCTCCTTCTATCCTTGACTTCTCCCTGAAAAAGGTCAGTTCTTTTGAGGAACCAAGAGAACAAAATTACAATTTTTAAATAAAATTTTAAATAAAAATGGGAAGAGTAAGGAAGAGCTTTTGGTGCAGGGTCCCAAAAGTTACAAATGGAAGTGGTGACAGGAGGCATCTGAATTTTAAGATTGTACAGGTCAGTTTCTATATCTGAGCCACATGTCTGGGCTCCCATCATGGTCAGTATAGTAAATTTAGTCAAGACCCTCTACAAGGACAATGTCATCTCACTGTAGAATAAATATTTACATTTTGTCTCATGAATCAGCCTTTGGAGTCCGCTGAGAATATTTCCTGGATTTCTGTTGATTGCAATGGAACTGGGGGAAATGGCAGAGCCAAAAGCACTGCCAAAGACACCAGAAGCACAGTGCAATTGTTCTCTCACTCCTGAGGGGTGTGACAGGGTGGGCAGTCCTGGTTCTGTCTGTTTCTGAAAACACCCAGACGATGAGGCTGAATCTGAATTAATTGTGTGCTGAGCTTTTTATCATGCATGTGTTGACATTGTTGCTCTTAAATTCTATTTCAAGCGAAACCGTGTGACTACCCAGTTATAGAAAACGGCAAGTTAAGTAACGCATATGAGTACAACAGACACTATTACTTTCCAATGAGATTTGGGCAGAGTTTTGACTACTACTGTTTCCAAGATTATTCAACCCCCACTGGAAATACCTGGGGTCGAAGTTCTTGTTCCGAAAGGGGCTGGTCTCCAGAGCCAAAATGCCTGAGTAAGTGCATTTCCAACATATGCTCAATTCTGTTATAATTATCAAAGGACTGTGCAGCTGAAATTGTTCTGCTGGAACACAGTTTCTTGGAGTCGGAGTGCTTTAGCTGACCCCTGGAACTGCACCCAGACTGTCATCCTCTCTGCAGAGCTC